GAGCCTGATGCGGGACTCGATCCCGGGACTCCAGGATCATGACCTGAGCCGAAGGCAGTCGCTTAACTGACTGAGCCACCCAGGCGCCCAAGAAGAACTGGGATTTAAACATAGGTGTCTGGTACCAGAGCCCAGGATTTAAGTCAGGGAAGGTCTCTCGGTTGTGGTGAGTGAAGTGAGGAAGCAAGGCATGCAAATATTACAATGAAGAGCATTGCAGGCAGTGGAACTGCCAGTGCAAAGGCCCTGGGGCAGGTGCATGCTTGTTGTTTGGGGAGGGTGAGACCAAGAGTTCAGATCTGGACATGTTGCAGTTTGAGAAACTTATTAAGCACCCAAGTGATATCTGGAGGACAGTTGGATATTCAAGTCCAGATTTCAGGGTAAAGCTTGGAAATAGATTAAATTTGTTTGTCATCAGTATTCATAGAACTATATGAGACGCTAGTGAGAGAGAGATGGAGAGTGAGAGAGAGAAGTCCAAGGACTAAAGTGTGGGGCAGAAGAGCAGGTGGCTTGAGCAGAAGAGACTAAGAAGGGGCAGCTGGTGAGGGAGGAGGAAACCCAGGAGAGAAGACTGCATGCAGGAGGGAGTGACCAGATATTTCCAGTCCTGTAGGGAGGCTCAGTTAGCTAAAGCCCGAGGAGTGACCATTGGATTTGGCAACACGGAAGTCATCATTGGCCTTGACGTTGGTGACCTTTAATAGACAGTATAGTACCTGGAAGGGCAACCAAAACAATTTCATGCCAGGTTGAGAGGGAATGGGAGCCGCATGCCCCATCCTCCAGCCTCAACTCTGCCCCTTCTGAACTCTGTGGGCCCCAGGGACATGTCCCAAGGTCTCTGGAGAACAAGTTGAAAACCACAGATGTAACCAACCCCTTTGTTTTACAGTTGATGAAGTTCTGGGCCAGAAAAGGGAAGAGACTGGCTCAAGGCCATGCAACTACTTATTGGAAACTCCAGGCTGCAATTTATCATTATTTAATGAGATTTGCCAGTGAAGACATCTGTTCCTAGCCTGTCTTATTATAGTGTGTTCCATAGACAATGGTTACTGTAACACGTAGACAAATCAAAAGAAGAATGTCTTTTTCACCTTGTGTCTCTGTGGAAAGGGGAGAATGATAACATGAACAAATTCAATTCATAGAAAACTCCTAGGTCTCAGTGTTCACTCGTGGTTTCCATATTCTCCTCCTACCACACCCCGCTTCTCAACACGTATGGTCATTCAGTAGGTTCCATGTTCTCTGATCCTACGTCCTGAGATGTCACGGGCTGCCATCTTAAAATGGGCATCGTAATAATAGCAGTTGTTCACACGGACCAGTAGCTGTTGCTAGCAGTGTTCTCTGATCCTCATAGCAACCCCAGGGTCAGACCGCCTGATTGCATGTCCCATTTCCACCACTCACTGATGGTGGGACCCTGGACAGGTTACCTACCATCTCTGTGCTTGAGTTTCATCAGCTGTGTGAAGTGCTTGGTCAATGGAAGACAGGATACAGGGATACGGGCTCCTAAGCCAGGCACTGTACTAGACATTGAATCGTCCCAGGCCCTATCATGCCAGGCCTGTGGACTGTGCACCAATTGTGGATCGCTGGGGACTCTTTCTCCTCTGCTCTCTGGTTTGATAAGCCTGGGTTGAATCAGGGAAGTGTACTCAGTCTCATCTTGCAACTGTTTTTGCCTTAGGATCCATGCTTGAAGCTGAATGAACCTCAGAACCTGCCCAGAGGAGAAGAGTATCAGGATAAGTTAGCAGCCGAGGAAGGAACCAGCAGTGATGAAGAAGAAAGGTACAGGAGGACATGCAGCCTTGCAAGCACTCCAGTGAATGAGGACTCAGATCTGGAAGGATTCATTCATTCATTCATTCATTCATTCATTCATTCATCAAGTGTTTATCACTGCCCCTTGCCTCACACTTAGGAAGGGAACAGATGTGTTTTGTATGTTCTCAGTACAGCTGTGGGCTTAATGCAATTTATCTTATTCCATTGTTACATCAACCTAGAAGAGGCATTTTATAGATTAAGAACTGAAACTCAAAGAGGTTAGTAAACCTGCCCAAAACTCAGGCCTGGACTGGCCCCAGATCTCTTCTAAGTTTTCTTTAACTAGGGGAAATGGGGAGCTTTGTCACTGATGGGAGATGCCCCATCTCTGTCATCTATATTAGTCAGCTTTTGCTGCTGTAATAAACATTCCCAAAATATCAGCGATTCTTAACTCCTAGGTCAGCTACCTGTATCTTGGCTCCTGCCTGAGGGTCAGGTGTTATTGCCCACCAAACTGTGGGTAAAGTTCGAGTCCTGTCCACATGCTTGTTCATTCTGGGACTGAGACTGAGATATTAGCCCCTATCTAGAGCATGTTGTTGTCATGGTAAAGAGAAGACTCTCAAAAGAGCTGATGAAAATATGCAGTGACTCTTAAAGCCTACACTCAGAACTGCATCCTCTCATTTCTAGTCATATTCTATTGGCCAAAGCAAGTCACTTGACCAAAATTACCACTGGACAGAGAAGAATATGCTGTCCACATGTCCTGTAGTCAGCTCTGGCTGCTGTAACAAAATACCACAGATTGTGTGGCCTAAACAACAGAAATTTGTTTCTCCTAATTCTGGAGGCTGGGAAGTCCAAGGACAAGGTGCTGGTCCACTCAATTTCCTGGTGAGAACTCTGCTCCTGGCTTTCAGATGGCCATCCTCTTTCTGTGTCCGCACATGGCAAGGGGGGCTGGGGGGTGGGAAAGAGAAAGGGTGGTAGGGGAGAGGTCTCTTTCATGTCTCTTGTTGTAAGGGCACTAATCTTACCACGAGGACTCCACCCTCATGGCCTAATCACCTCCCCAGAGCCCCATCTCCTAATATCATTACATTGAGCAATAGGTTTCAACATATGAATTGGGGGAGGGGGGCATAAACATTCAGATCATAGCCTTGGGGAAGCAGGGTATATACCCCTAAACCAGACCACAGCCTACAGCCCAGTGAACTCCCAGCTACTAATACTTCCACCGAATCCTCAAGATTTTGCCTCAGGATCTATGAGGCACATAAAAACAGCAGTGAAGGAGGACAGACTCTGGAGTCAGGTCTCCAGGTTAAATCCTTACTACTGGCAGCCACAAACCTTGTCCTGTTTATAACTCACATTTCCAGAGAGAAAGAGTCTTTTTCCTGAAATTATGACAGAAATTTCTCTAAGGTGCCCAGCTTGGGTCACATGTCAATCCCTGAGCCAATCACTCCGGCCACAGAGATGGAGTGCTCTGACTGGCCAGCATTTGTGACACATCCTCCCCTGGGCCCGTCAGAGGATGAGGGCAGAGTGAGCTGCACCTGAACTCTGTGGACTAAAAAGAATCACATGGAAAAAGGAAAAGTTTTCCCAGGGAGAGGATGCTGGGCAGACCAACGGCAGGTGGAGATCACAACAGCCTTGTCTTTTTCTCCCGCGGTGGCTGTATCAGTAAGGGGTTGTCCTCAACTACAGAAGCAAAAAGGGAGGGGCTCTGGAGGTCACTCCCACAGGGGTTTTGGTGTGAATAGAAGACTAAGCAGTGACAGGGAAGGACTAGAAAGGTTGCCTGAGTTCTAAGGTCAGTAGTTGTAGAAGAGAACAAATGCAGTGGCTCTTTGGGGGCAGGGTTGCATATTTAGTGGTTAGCCTCATGGGGAATGCTGGTCAGGACACTGGACTTTTTGGCATGGTGGCTCTAAAAAGGGATGTGGCTTTTCCATGGGTTCAAGGCCAACTTCAGAAGAGCAGGTTCAGGTCAGCTTTAATGGGCAGGGATGGGGGACATTAGGAAAGTCAGCTGCTTAGTGATGGGTGGCAGGATGAAATTGGCTGCTTAGGAAGAGGTGAGGAAATTTGAGGCAGTAGAATGGGGTCAGAGAGAGAAATCCCATTAGTGGTGTTCCAGGGAGTAATGATAGTGATGAAAATAATAATAAATATTTATTGAATGCTGAAGTGTGATAAGAACATTAAAACGATTAGTCCATTTAATCTTCAATACGCAGATACTATTATTGAAGTGCCTCGCTTTAAAGATGGAGAAAACAGAGGAACAGGGAGATCAAGTAACTTACCCAAGGTTACACTGCTAGTATATGGTAGGACTGGATGAGTGTCTTTGACGCCAGAATCACAGTTTTAGCTACATCTCAATTTAGGGCAGCTGAGCTGTGCAAAATGGAGAGCCACAGGTCTTCCACCTTTCCAGTGTCACTTGATCCTTTAATAGTCAGTAATAAGAACTGAAGCTTGCACTTCCAGCAATGTGCTTCCAGTCTGGCTCGAGTTCCTCTTTCTGTAAACAGCTATAAAACCAGACAAAACATATGAATGCACTCTTGAGTAATGGGGCAATATGCAGAGGACTGTGTTCTTGAGAAGGGAAACATGAGTCGAATCCCACCATCACCCACACTTGCCCCCGCTTTTCTGCCTGGGGGAAGCTGCCCGCTGCAGAAAAGGAGATAGGTGCGCCTGGGTGGCTCAGATGGTTAAGCGTCTGCCTTCGGCTCAGGTCATGATCCCAGGATCCTGGGATCGAGCCCCACATCGGGCTCCTGGCTAAGCGGGGAGCCTGCTTCTCCCTCTGCCTCTGCCTCTCCCCCTGCTCATGCTCTCTCTCTATCTCTGTGTCTCAAATTAATAAATAAAATCTTTAAAAAAAAAAAAAAAGAAAAGGAGATAGAGTCAAGCTGAGCTGAGAAGGCAGACACCAGAGCTGAGGGCTGCTAAAGTGGCTGGAATGTGTAAGGTAGAGTACTGGAAGAGATGGTCCTAGGACAGAAATCTGTAAGAGGATTTGCCATAGGTCCTTGGCCAAGGGCTTGAGAGAACATACAAGATGATGCTCCATGGGGCTTGATGTGTGTTGCTGCTGTGGTGCTGAGTAAATGAAAAATCCCAGAGGGCGTGCTGTGCTGCGAGATGGTGCATTCCCAGCTCACCCAGGATAGAGAAACCTTCCCAGGCAATACAGGCCTTCAGTGGAGACCTCAAGGAGGTCATACTTCATGGGTAAGAAACACATCCTATAGGCTAAAGGCCATACCCTAGAACAGAAGACAATATTGAAATGCACCTGCTCTAACAAAAGACAAACTCAAACCCAAAAGGATCAGAAAAGGCCTTCCGTAGTTTAGATGCTTGGCAGAACAAAAATCAACACTTTTAAAAGGAAGACATAATCTAGACTCTCTATTATCCACCTATATTATATTATATTATCCACAATATGCATCATACAATGAAAACATCATGAGAATGCAAAGAAGCAGAAAAATGTGACCTGTAATCAAGAAAGAATATCAGCCAATAGAAACAAACCCTCAAATGACCTTGATGTTGGAATTAGCAGACAAGGACTTTGGAACAATTATAAGAGTTATGTTCAAGGACATAAAAGAGAGACGGTTATAATCAGTGAACATATAGGGAATTCAGCAGAGAAACAAAAACCTTGAAACAAAGGGAAATTCTGAAATTGTAAAGTACAGTATTCAAAATGAAAGTCTCACTGGTGTGTTTAATAGCAAACTGGAGACCATGGAAGAAAAAATAATCACTTGAAGACAGATTAACAGAAACTGTCTTATCCAGAGAATGAAGGGAAAAAAAATTTAATGGAGAGATCCTCAGTGACACGTGGGAAAAAATCAAATGGTCTAACATGCATATAGTTGGAGCCAAGGAGGAAGAAGAGAAAGAAAATGGAGCAGGAAAAAAATATTTGAAGAAATAATGGCTGAATATTCTCCCAACTTGGTGAGGAACATCAACTTATACATTCAGGGAGCTCAGTGAACTCCCAACAATAAAATCCAAAGACAGCATCATAGACACATCCTAGAAATCCCTAGGTACATCAAAGAAAAGCTGCTGAAAACAAAAGATAGATACCCCCCAAAATCTTAAAAGCAGCCAGCTTTTTAAAAAGACAAATAACAAATACAAGGAATACTTGAATTCTCATGAGCACTAATGACAATTAACTTCTTCTTGGCCTTCCAGCCTCATTCTCTTTCTGCTTTACAAAAAGCATCTGAACAATATCATTAAAGTCCTAAAAGACAAAACAAAACAAAACAAAAAAACCCAAAAACCAAAAAAAAAAACCAAACCTGTCCACTCCAAATTCTAAATCCAGTGAAAATATCCTTCAAAAACAAGAGTGAAATAAAAACACTTTCAGCTACATAAAAGCTAAGAGAATTTTTCACCAACCAACCTGCACTATGGTAAGTGCTAATGGAATTTATTTAAACTAAAAGGAGATTATACCAGATTTAAACTTGGATCTATAGGAGAAAATGAAGAGCGTCAGAAATGGTAAACATAGGTCAATATAGAAGACTATTGTTTTACCTTCTTTTAATTTCTTTAAACCACATCCAACTGCTTAAGAAGAAGAAGAATTATAATGCTATTAACAACATTTTATTATGGGATTCATAATGCATGTTATTGACAATATATGATTATTAGCACAAAGGACAGGGTTAGGATTTCTTTCTTTCTTTCTTTCTTTTTTGTTTGTCTGCTCTCAACACTATTACAATACCATTGATTATATTCCCTGTGCTGTACTTTTCAACCTCGTGACCTATTCATTCCATAACTGGAAGCCTGTACCCTCCACTCCCCTTCACCTGTTTTGCCCATCTCTCTACCCCCTTCCCCTCTGGCACCATCAGTGTGTTCTTTGTCTTTATGGGTCTGTTTCTGCTTTTTAAAAAATTTGTGTGTTTGTTCATTTGCTTTGTTTTTTAGAT